ACTGCCTGGAGCGGGCAGGGCCGGAAGTACTGGTTCATGCTGATTTGTGGTGAGCTGCTAGCAGCTTGGCTGGATGGCTGAACATCTGGAACAGGATTCAGAGATTAGGGGCATGGTCTGGCTGGGGACAGATGTCTCAATACGGGCAGGCACAGACTATGAAGGTATCTGTATCCACGTGTGCCTGCCAGAGAATCCCTTCAGGCTCTCAGTGATCAGGGGGACAGAACGGCCTGCCCTGTGGACGTGGCCAGCTGCCTTCCCCAGCCACCGTGCTTGCTTGGTGGACCCACGAACCAAGGAGCCATCCAGACAGGGGTGGGGGCTAGAACAGGTTCGGTGTCTTTAACCTGCCCTGCCCACGGCTCACCGAGCCAACTACCGCTGAGGGCCTAACCAGCTAACGAACACCGAGTTCCTAGAATGGCATTTCCTCCAAAGACCAGCTAGCCACTGGTGTCAGGTAGATTACACTGGGCCCCTTGCATCATGGAGGGGGCAGAGACCGGTCCCCACTGGAATAAACAGAGAGTCCAGTCATGGACACCCCCACCCCACCTGTCAGCACCACCACCCATGGTCACTTTCCACAAATAGCTGCTGATCACAGAACCCAAATCACAGCAAGGGACACTCATGACAACAGGCTTGTGTCCATGGAACGAACTGTTACTACTACATCTTCCCCCACCAGGAAGCAGCTGGGCGTACTGAGTACTCAGCTATGGTGAAGGAACGCGGTGCCGTCTCTCACAAGGACTTCCATGCCTTTAGCCAGAGACGATCATCTGGTGCGGATTCCCCAACAGCCAGAACATACGGGTCTGCAGATCAAGGTGTGGGAGTGGGGTTGGCACTCTGCAGTATTACACTTAATAAGCCAATCACAGAATCTTTGAGAGAGAGACACACACAGGGAGAGAGGGAACACAAGCAGGGGGAGTGAGAGAGGGAGAAGCAGGCTTCCTGGTGAGCAGGGAGCCCAAGATGAGGCTCGAGCTCAGGACCTGGGATCACGACCCAAGCTGAAGGCAGAGGCCCAACGACTGAGCCACCCAGGTACCCCTCACAGAATCTTTTTACTCCAGGCCTGGAAAATCTGGGCTTTGTTGGTTTGGCGGTCTTAGATGCTAAGCGGGTAACTTCCCCTGAGGGACACAACACTGGTTCTGGGTAATCCAAGAAGAATGCCACTCAGTGGCGATAGAGGACTAAGCCTGAGATCCAGAGAGATTCTCCAGTGTGTCTCCACACAAGGGAAATAAAGCAAAGGGAAGTAACTCACTACAAAGGTTTCTAGAAAAGGACACTTCAGCAATGAAGGTTTGGGTCAGCCAGGTAAAACCCAGGTAAGGGAGGTTCTGAGGACAAGGGAAGTGTGGAGGGTGGCAGGGGAGTCACAAACATCAACTACAGTCCTGTGAGCGATCACAGAATCCAGGGCAGGGCTAATGGCACATTTTCTCCGTACTGACTCACACATGCTCTTTTCTCATCTGAGGCGCTCCCTGCAAGAGAACATCGCTATACTGAACCCTGGGGCTCGTCGCCAAACGCTGGCAAGCACTCCTACATTTCCAGAACTCCTCAGGTGACGACGGTGACAGCAACCAACTCTGAGAGTGCATGGTTGTCCTGACTCCCAGATGCGTCACCATTATGCCAGGAGCAGGAAAGAGGAGAAGGTGGTCAGGGAAGCAGTGAGCCAATCAGAGAAAGTGAGGAAATGCAGGGTGCGCGGACTTCCTGGTACCAGAGCCCTGGCTGCTGAGCTCAGGGCGGCTGCTGTGGCCTGGGAGCCCTGCAGTGCGGCCTCGCCTCCGCAGCGCCCTCTCTGGCTGCTGTCGGTAATAAGGGGAGACCAGCCGTGTTCAGAAGAAAATGTAGCTTTATTATGACATAGGAAAGACTACAAGCCATTAAGGGAGAAGACTTGACAGGTCCTCAAAATGACAGGTAAAAGGGAGGTGTAAACATCTTGGTAATAAAATCCACAGCACGATCATTGGAATCTTTTTCTTACAATTTTTGTTTTCAAGGTTATAGTAAACGAAACAATCACTTGAATTGTCAAAAGGAGGGCCATCTGGCCCAGGGAAAGCATACACACCAAGCCGAAGGACAAGAGCGAGGGGCTATGTGTTGTGGGGTCAGGGGCACTGCCGCGAGAAGGAGGCCTAAAGACGACCCTGCGCCCTGGAGAGGCAGCCTGGCTGCTCGGCTGCCCGCTGGACCCCCACTCTCCTGGCACGGCCCCAGCTTAGAGCTCATGTCACAGCTCTGGAGATGGAAAGCCCAGTTCCCTACCATGCCGTCAAAGAGCGGCCAACATCTCAGAAACACATATTATTTTAAAACCACTCGTGGGAATGTGGGGGGGGGGGCAGTGGGGATCACCCGATGATCCCTGTAGTGTCAGATGCACTTGGTAATGACCTGAACATGTGAACAGGGGTCTTTACAAGGAAACAAGAGAGCTATGTTCCTGAATTTAATGCCTGGCCTGGGAGCAAAAAAGAAACATTTCCAGGCCCACCATGGAGTATTTTGTGAGTAACAAAGTAAATCCCAGCGACCGACATCCTGCTGGCAACACTGCCCACGCATGGTTCCTACAGTCACAGGAGCTTCCCAGCGGCAGACACAGGTGACAACTTGCAATGCCGGTGTCAACAGGGAATAACAACAGTTAATTTGGATACAAAAACTTAGAGTCATGTCTACAAAAGAGAAACGTGACCTCATCATCTATCTCCAGACCTCATGCTCTTGGAACAGCTGAGCTCTCCTGAACATGAGCAGACACAGATGTGGAAAGCAGAGCTGGCCAGACCACAGGGAACCTGCCAGAAAACCCAGGACCATCCAGTATAGCCAGGTCTCAAGGCAGGAGAGCTCACAGCTCGAACTCCGCAGGCCAGCGTCAGCCAGTTCCTTGCTTGACTTGCTCCTTATTAAAGGGCAACGGCTCTCCGACAAAGCAACCTTCCCAACAGTTTCTCTCTTACAATCACACACACAACCCAGCCACGTGGGGCCATTTCTGAAAATCTGCACCCACCTTTGTTCCTGATCATTCCTGCTATCAAAGAACACGTACTCCCAAAAAGCAGAAATACACTGAGCATGAACTGAGCAAGTGCTTAAAAGCTGCATCACCAAGGTCTTTGTAATCCAGGAGGCTGCTGCGGCACGACTGCTGTTTCACGTATTCCAGCATGTTCCACACGGAGTGGTAACTACTCAACGGCTGCTGTTCCTACCCACTTCCTACCTTGACTAGCTGACGAGCCAGATCACGCCCACTGTTTCTGCATGGCCTACCAGCTCAGCATTGTTTGCACATTTTTAAATAGAGAAAAAAACCAAATTCCGTAACAGGTGAAGACTGTCGAATTTCAGTGTCCGAAAGATGTCTTCCTGGAACATAGCCATGCTATTCTGTTTCTGTACTATCTACGGCAGAGACCCCACGGCCTGTAAAGCCTCAAATTATTTACTATCTGGCTCCATCAAAATTAAAAAAAAGGGAAAGTAAATATGCTGAACTTGAAACAGAGGGTTCTCTTCTCCAGGAACAAACATTCCACAGCTCAAAAGCAGAACGGGCTCCTAGGACAAGCACTGCTTGTTCCCCGAAAAGACATTAAAGCAGCTTTTCCGCCCCCACGTCTGGGTTGTTAAGTTCTCAGAAACGGACAATGGAAGTTTGTGTTTAGACAGACAAGTGCATGCAGGATATCTTACAAGGACCAAGGCAAACTGCTCCGTCTCCTCCAGCAGCTCCTCCCTCTTCCCACCAGCTCGCTGGCCCAGCCGCCTGCCCCTGCTGCAGCTCTAACTACACCAGACGTAGGGCAGAGGCAGCAGTATGAACCGCAGGCTCCACGGGACGCCACTCCAGCTTCCATCCGACCCACGAGCCGCCACGTGGCCACAGGGAGAGCGAGTGGGACGAGGGGCCAGGAAGAAAATATGAGGAAGGAACAACGAAGCCCCTGGAAACACTTCACTTACTCAAAAGATTAACAGGACAGAGACACTTAACTAGCCTCAGCCTGACTCTCGACCGCCGCCCCCGCCAGCCCTCACCTGGACGTGGATGCTTCCAAAGGGGAAGGGGGGAGGAGAAGCAACAAAACCAGCACCGATGAAAAAGCAAGATTCACTGTCAAGAATAAAGGAAAATGATCTAAATTTCTGTATAAATGCAATAATTCATTCACGTTACTACCATTACATTGATGAAAGTCACCATTGTGGAAAAAGAGAAAAGGGGAGAGAGCTATGAAAGTGCCTATTTCTAAAAAAACAAAAAACAAAAAACAAAACCAAGAGAGACCACCTGGGCTGACGTCTCCACATGCAGTTGGGTGCTAAGTGATCTGCGCAACAGACGGGCTTGGGAACCCGCTGGAGTCCCCGGTTCCATGAGCTCGGTGGGGGTGGGGGTGGGAGCGTTCCTCTATCTGCTGACCAGACGCAGGCTAAGTTCCACGCTATCTATGTTTGATACTAAACCTGCAGCGAGGAAGGTGCGCGCAAAGTCCTCTGTCCTCACACCACGTCTTTGGCTCCTGTATCTCACTGTTTTAATGGACCCATGATGGAAAACCGGGTTGGCGCCTTTTCAAACTGCTCCCTTGCGCAGGCAAGCCGCAGCCCCGGGACACGCTGCTCCCCCCACCCCGCCGCACGTGGTCTCGAGGAGCACAGCAGACGCCCAGGGACGCACCCCAGGGCCCCTCCCCACGCAGGGCACATCCCCCCATGTCGCTGCGTCCGCTGCGTCTGCTGTGCAGGTCCCGGAGCCTCCTTCGGAGTGCAGCGCCCGTGCATGCGGACGCCGCGACCCTGCGCACCCGTGTGGCCGCCGCTGGGCCCAGGCTGCAGGGGAATCCGATGTTCTCGGGGGCACTTCTGTGTGTGGGGTGGCTTCATGAAGTCGGGGAGGGCGGAGATCACCTTGGGAGGCTGGCCAACTCATCGCCTTCATTTTTGGGGACCAGCCGCAGGTAAGGCTACTCATACTCCAGGAACTGTTTGTGGTAGAACAGCAGGTATCTGAGGAGGCAAAGACAAGAAGCGCGCTGACACTCCAAGTTACCGGAGGCAGAAGCAACACCGCGCCTCACCACCGAGACACCCGCAAGGGGTTTCAGAACCCACTGGCGGCCTGACCGCTGGCCTGGCTGGGTTCTGGCCCCGATGAGGAGGGGCCTTGGCTAGGCAGCAGGTTGCCCACGGCGAGTGCCCGTCCTCCCCCCTGTCCGCCAGGAAGTCCTGAGTCCATTAGTCCCGCCCCCACAGCTCCTGAAGCTTCTCCCGCCATCCACCTCGCTGCCAGGCTTCTAGTCCAAATGCGCCCCTTTGGGTGGTTCCTCTGGCCGCCTCTGTGCCCACAAAGCTATCCTCTCGCACACAAATTATTCTACAAGGCTCTCAAGGGGCGCCCCACTACTTGGTGGCCATACAAAGCGCACACGCCTCAGGAGTGCTCTGGGCCCCATCTGAGCCCATCTCTGGTGGGGTTGGGGAGCGGTCCATGGAGAGTCTTAAGCCGAGTAAGGACTTGAGGGCAAAAGGCCAGGGAGGAATGAAGCGGGTCAGGAAGAAAGGAGCTCCCCAAGACCCCACGTGGCCGCTCAAGCCACGGAGAACAGAAATGACCACCCCCACATTCCCGGTGTTAGGGTGTTCATGGAGAGCGACCTGCCCACCCAGGCTGGCACCCTGTCCAGAACAAGCCTCCATGTGGGAGTGGATGTATACTCAGGGAGCCGGCGGCCGCCCAGACGTACCCCTCACTGTCCAGCACATCCTCAATGCTGGCCTTGGTGATGATGGCATCGTCACACTTGAACCACTGGTCCTTGTGCTGCCGGATGAAGCTGGTGTAGTGGCCACTCTCCAGGGTCCCTTGGTGGTTAACTACGGCAAACAAGGAGTACCTAGTTTGGGAGCGCGGGAGTGGGGAGAGAAGGAGCAGAGAACTTAATCTAATCGCCATCAGAAGCAGTCAGAAGTCTGCACGGTAAGTAGCCCACGGACCCCAAATGAACACCCCAGGAACGAGAGCAGGAGCCTGGCAGGCACACAGGCCTGCCCAGCCCGCCCAGCCCACCCAGCTCTCGAGCTGCTTTGCGGAAGCCACATTCAGTGGAAGCGGGGACGGCAAGCTGCACTGGGGATGCTGTAAGCCCACAGTCCTTTGTTCTTTCCCCCACAGCGACGGTAAGCAGGGGGTGAAGGAAAGAACAGAGGCCTTACCGCAGCGCCGGTGGAGGCAGAGGCCAAAGGGCCCCAAATCCAGACACGGAGCTCTCATGCTAGCAGCGCCGTGGCCAGTGCGAACCCTGCTCACGTGCAGGAGCTGGGGCAGAGGGGGCAGGTTCCTACATTGGGCAGCTTTACGATGCGCTTGTGAAAATCCTTCCCCAAGAGGGTTTCAGGTTTCAGGGGCAGAGGAGCAGCAAGACAGGCAGCAGGCCAGCGGCCAAAACAGAGAGGCGCTGTGTCATTGGGGGCCTCCCCGCATGGCCCACCCGTGGTCACATGTTCCCTGCTCATGCTGGAGACGCGCCCACCCACGAGGCACCACTTACTTATTGTCATTGTTGAGACTGTCTGTTGGCTGCTGGTACTGTCCGTTCATCCTGCTCTCTTTGCTGTAACAAAAAAACAGTACTTCCTCAGCATCATTTAAAATAATTAACCAGGGGCGCCTGGGTGGCTCAGTGGGTTAAAGCCTCTGCCTTCGGCTCAGGTCATGATCCCAGTGTCCTGGATCGAGTCCTGCATTGGGCTGTCTGCTCAGTGGGGAGCCTGCTTCCACCTCTCTCTGCCTGCCTCTCTGCCTACTTGTTATCTCTGTCTGTCAAATAAATAAATAAAATCTTAAAATAAAATAATTAACCAAGAAGATGCCTGGCTCGAATGACGGTACCCCTGGGTACTACTGCTGGGGCCTCCTTCGCCGGACGTGGCATTCGGTGCACCTTAGACGTGCTTTCTAATTCTTCCAGCAGCTCTGCTTTCTAGGGGAAGGTGAGGAAGCGGAGGCCGGAGCTGGAGAACCAAGCTGCACAGAGCCACGAGGCGCAGAGCCGGCCCAGATGGACCGGACTCCCCTTGGCTGCTTCCAGCCAAGCTGTGGTAATCTGTCAGAGAGGCTATAGGAGATAATGCACATTTCACGCACGCGCGAGTGCCGCGGAGGTTCGGAGGGCACGTTTTAAGTGGTCTGGGATATCAAGATTTGAATCTATAACTGCAACACAAACTGCTTAGTGTATCCAAAATCAGTCCCATCAGTGGCAGCGTGGCCTGCCGGGATCCCACTGCAACCGCTCGCCACGACTGAGGGCTGCTAAAGGAGCACCGGGGAAAACCCGAAGCTGAGGAAACTCCTCTGTGTCCTGGGTTAAGACCAGGATAACGATTCAGTTTCAGCAAATGCGCTTCTAGTAGCCTCTACACCGACTGATCGCAGATCCGGAGTCGATCCTGGACCCTATGGAGCCACAGCCCTCCTGATCACACAGCGGCCCAAACCCTTTCATACCTGGACGCCATGAAGGGCGTCATGTCCAGCTCTAGGGGAAAGGACACGTATGTGGTGATCTTCCGCCTCAGCTTGGCCGAGTGCTCGAATCGCTACAGAAACAGGGGAGAGGGGAGAGAAGGAAAGGGATGAAGCTATAGGGGTTTCCTCTGATGGTGCTTCTCTGGACACTCCCAAAAGTGGGCTTTTCATGGCCTTTCTGACTTGCCCTTCGGCCACATCTAGAGCTTACAGACTCAGTAACAGCGTATTAATCTATACAAATCTAATTTATGGGGTTCAAAAATGGAGTCTTGGGATGATGGGGTTGTTCAAAGTGACTGACGCCAAGTGTGCAAAAAAGTGATCTTACAACAAACGCAGCGAAGGGCAAGGAGGAAGGAAACAGAATCAACATCCATGAGCTCCAGGAGCAAAAAGGGACCTACTGTTCCTTTCGGCAAAGACATTCCTCTGACTAGACTGGGGCCACCAAATGCAGGCAGCAAGCCAGGCATGGCTGGGGGTTTTTGTTGAAAGGGTCATAAAATAAAGAGGCTATGAAGCCTGAAATATTTACTCTCTGACCCTTTATAGAGAAAGCTGACCGACTCCTGGACTAGGGCATAATGCTCACGGTCTCATTTGCTTTTAAGTAAAAGGAAACCAGAAAATTCTGGTGCTGGGGGGAAGGTGGGGAAGCTGGGGAGGAGGAAGAGGAGGAGATTGCTCACCCCCGCCCCCAGGAGAGTAACTCACGTCCTACTGTCGTCATGAAGTAACCAGTCTGGTTCACCACAAACCCCTCGGCGTAACGAGGACGGGGCAGAGTCACAGCAGTTGTACAATGTGCTTTTCTACACCAAACCGACAGGTTCTCCGTGGTACCAGGGGCTGAAAACGGAATCTGCCGCGGGAGTCTGCTTTCCAGAAAACTTACTTTGAGATGAAAACAGGCTACAATGGGCAGTTTCTTCATGGTGAGCTGCTTTGTGGACTCCTGGTAGCTGTGGCAACCGCTGCACTTGATCTTGGCGCTGCTCCCTAAGTGCTCCGGTCTGGTGAATCTACCGGACACGTGCACAGCACAGTTGAAGAAGAAGGAAAAAAGATGGAGAGGTAGGAGAGGAAAAGACAGAAAATCATTATTGTATCACTTTCCATGAGTTAATTTCCTACTAAACATGCACATAGTTAGGAGTGTTTATAATTCCACAATGAAAAAAAGAAAAACCAAACTATTTCTTCCTTCATCTCTTCCCCTTAACACCTCAAGAACGGTCTTAATTCTTCTTTTGAGTTAAGAGTCTTGTGAAACAGTAGTAACTTTCTAACGACCGTGAGACCCAGCAATTTGAATTTCAGGAAAACGAGAACTCGCGTTCATGCAAACAATGGTACACAAACGCTCTGAGCGGCTGCACCCGTGACAGCTGAACACCCGACAGCCATCAGTGCTCTCCCGTGCGTGGACGTTAAAGCAGCGGCTACGGGCCACCCCTGGAGTACTCGGGGCAACAATCAGGGACAAACTACAGAAACACACAAGCTGAAAGAATCTCGAGAGACCTACGGCTGGGAGCCTGGGAGATTTCAGAGGTCGTATGTTCTATGATTCCGTTTACACGACATTTTCAGAACTCCCGTGGCTGCCGCGGGTTACGAGGCAGTGGTGGGGGTAGGGACAGGTGGGGATGGAACTGTCCCGCATCCCAACAGCATCAACAGGAATATCCTGATGACACTGTACTGTAATTTTAGAAGATGTTATCACTGGGGGGGAACTCTGTAGAGGGTAGCCAGTTATTTATTTATTTATTTTTTAAAAGATTTTATTTATTTATTTGACAGAGATCACAAGTATCTCAAGAGGCAGAGGAGGAAGCAGGCTCCCCACTGAGCAGAGAGCCTGATGTGGGGCTCGATCCCAGGACCCTGGGATCATGACCTGAGCCGAAGGCAGAGGCTTTTAACCCACTGAGCCACCCAGGCGCCCTAGCCAGTTATTTCTTACAAAAACGGGGAAATGATCGTTTTGGAATGATGAAGACCGACCACGACACAGCAGGGCTGCACTGAGCAGGCCAGCAACCATGTGGCACATGGGTGGCTACCCATAAAACAGACGTTTCGATACGGTTTATGTCAAGTTTTTTAAGTTTGAGGCTGAAAAACAAAGTTCACCTTTTCACGACTGGGTCTGGAAATCTCTGTTTATCCGTCGGAAATTCGTCATCTTCCCAGAACAAGAAGATGCCCCCTCGTGACCCGCAGCTGACCCCACCTGCCCCGGGAGGTGCCCCGGAAGTGGGAAGCCGAGGGGAGCAGTCAGATCTCGTAGGGAGAAATGTGGGACAAGGCATCTGAGCGTTGTCTGCCCCAGCCTCTAGGAACTAGACCACAAATGCAATTGGCAAAGTCCACAGGGTGGGTAATTCTGAGAAAAACAATCTTGTCTTCTCAACACAGAAAGAGCAAGGCAACCAAAGAAGGGGCTGAAGCCATGGATTTGCAACCAAAGTAATGTGCACACCTAGTCTGGATTCTGACTTGAACAAACTGTACAGAATACTTTTTTATAAAGACTATCAGGGCAGTTTGGACACTGGGTACCTGACCGAAGAGAGAAAAACGTGCCCGTGTCTATAGTGAAGACTCTGGAAATAACGTGACTCACCACACACAACCCCGTAATGCAGCTTTCCCACTCAAACCCGTGTGGCCCCAGCCCACCCAAACTGCTTAGGAACACGCCAGGGGCCACAACCGCTTCCCTGATGACTAGCTGAGCTTCTCCAGTCAGCACTGACAGCAGGGACAAGTACTCAGACTGTGGGTTACTACTGGGTGGAGAGAGCACTGTGCACTGAGGAAAAATAGGGACTTTTACAACTGGAAGCCCAAAGCCAGCCCAGAGCAGAAATCAGGGAGAGGATTCTGTCCATCCAGCAAGCAGTCAGAAAATAGGTGTCTGATGGTGGGAAGCAAAGTCCCTGAGGCAACAAAGCTACCAAGCCAGGCTGCAAAGAACACTTCCATGAAGGAGTCCCCAGGAACTCTGTCCTGGGACAGGTTTGAGCTTCCCAAGACGCAGCCTTCTGCGGCTTGTCAAGTCAGATTGGGGGTGGAAACATTTTACTTAGCCTCAAATCTGAGTACACAAGCATCAGCCAGTTACAACCTCTCTACTAAGTATCACCAATTAAGCACCTGAGCAGTAAGCACGCTGCTTCTCCTGCAGACACGCACTGCAACAGATAGACTCCCGTCCAGTCTAAAATATGGAGTCCAAAATCCTCTTTTGATGTTTTCCCATTTTGTATTCTTCGGGAAGTTCCTGATTTTTGGTCATTTTTTCTTTCCATGTGCAGTGCCCTAAACTCATCCTCCCTGCCAAACTATGCTAACTTTCCGACACCAAATAGGTCAACCAAACCTGCTTTGACACTAAGAAAATGTCCGACAACATTAGCTACAAAGAGGATTTGGCTTCAAATTCACGTAACTGTGAGTAAAGGATGGAAGAACCACAGAGCTCCCTCAACCATCTGTCCAGGCCACCCCTACCGTTTGGGGAACTTCCAAACCTAGTTGGGAGGCAGGGCCCATCTTCCTTCATGGAAGGTTACCACAGAAGTTTGGGCACCCGACCTAGGCTCGGCCAGCTGGATACTCTTAATGAGGGCTCTGTATCTGGAAAAGTCGCTCTTGAGAAGCATCTGCAGGAAGAATTGGTCCGGCCAGGAGCCCCAGTTCTGCTACACCCGAGAGGAGCAGGCCAATGGCGGGCAAGCCTCTCGCGGTGACCACGTGTTTGCTGAGCTAGGTCCTCTTCAGCCTTCCTGGGGATGTGGTGACACCCAGTACCTTTTTCTGCCTAAGTTCAGCAGAGCCCGCTCCTGCCACCTGCGAGCGGTCTGAGCCGGTGCACCCTCACGCACACGTCCAGTGGAGGACCACCACCATGCCAGGTGTGACGGCGGGAGAGGAAGGGAGACCGAGGCAGTCTCTTGCCCCGAAGAGGCTGCATTTCGATCCAGACTGAGGAACCACAGCATGAACAGCAGAAAGCAGAGACAGCAATATACTGACAAGAGCCAAGGGCACGTCCTGAGGCCAACACAGGAGGAGCATGGACACCAAGGAAAGCAACTGGCTTGGCAGAGGGCTCCCCCCATCACCAGCACCACTTCTGTCTCCCACCGAGTCCACCTCCTGCCCGCAGGGCTCCAGGAATACAGGCTGAGCACTGCCTTGAGGCAGCTCCTGAAGGGTGATGGCCACTGCTTACCCTCTCATGAAACACTACAGGACTCAAGGGTCTGGAGCTACGGATTTCCATCTACCTTGACTTCTTCCTGCCGGGTTTGCAATCTGGTCTCAGCCTAACTCGGAAAGGGTCCCTTTGCCGTTAGCACAAACTCAAGATGCACGTTCTCTGCCCTTCCCCAGCCATTCGGCCACTGACCAGCCCTATGTGGCCCCCAACCGGACAGCTCCGTGGGCCAAGTGTAGCTGCCCTCTCTGTGCCTGCTTGGTGGGCAGAGCTGCAGGTCGCCGAAACACAGGACTGAGTGTAACAGAGCTGTCAACACTCCCTCTGAAAATGGTGGGCTTTTCAGTTCCGATATTTTGCTTGGTTTCCAAAGCAAAATCTGGTTTCCAAATTACAAGTCTGATGCCCCATTTACAACTGGAGTATCAGTGTGACGGAGCTGACGCGTTTAAAAATTCTTAGCAGGGGTGCCTGCGTGGCTCAGTGGGTTAAGCCTCTGCCTTCAGCTCAGGTCATGATCTCAGGGTCCTGGGATCGAGCCCCGCGTGGGGCTCTCTGCTCAGCAGGGAGCCTGCTTCCCCCCTCCCCCTCCCCACCTGCCTTTCTACCTAATTGTGATCTCTGTCAAATAAACAAAAGTTTTTGAAAAAAAAAATTAAAATAAATAAAGTAAAAATTCTTAGCATGCACCTTTGAGCCTGCTGACTACACACAGCAAGATAAAAGACCCAGAAGCCTGCCCCTCTGCCCAAGGACACGCCCGCAGTGACCTTTAATTAATGTAAAAAAAAAAAAAAAAAAGGCTGTAAAACACTAAACACCATTAGAACAGTTTAGGGAAGGTCTCTAGTCTCCCTGCCATTGCGTGAGAGCTTCCCCAGCATGGTGACAGCAGCGGTACCCTACATCCAGCACTCGTGTCAGGCAGAGACGAGGTGACCGGACAGGCGCGGCACCACAACAGGCCTGTTGCCCACAGAGAGGGCCCTGCCCGACACCAGGGCAGGTTATCAGCCACACACGGTGACCGTTACCGAGCTGTCCCCTCAGCTCTTGGGTCAGTCACCCGGCTGGGCGGAGCACGGCTATAACACACACAGGCTCCCTGCCAGGCTTTCAGAGCCAGGACAGACTGTCCGAGCCACTGGGCACCACCTACAGCCGCCTGCAGGCTGTCCTATCTCATTTTCTATACCCAACACATGAGAGAAAATTCTACTGGGCCCCAGACGGTCCTGAATTTCTTCGGACTCTCCCCTGACCAACCAGTACCTCCAAGAGCCTGAAGGCAAGAGAGACAAGTGCTGGCCCAGAAAGACCGTTCTCCATCTCCAGAGGTGCCGGCGGCTTCTTACCTTCGCAGGCAGTCCGTGAGCGTAGTGGTTCCCGCTACGTGGCTCTCCCCGTTCACCACACTGCCCTCGCTCCCGGGGCTCAGGGGCCAGAACGGGGTGGAAGAGCCAGGCAGATCCAAACTGATGTCCCAGAAGGGGTCTATGGTGGTAGAGACTCCACTAGAAGCAAGAGGAGACAAAGATGCAGGTGAGAGCAGACGGCCATGCAGCCTCCGAGGCAGCAGCTGGCCCACAGCAGCCGCAGCCTGGCACAGCCCTGCTCGTCCACCCAAAGGACATTAAGGTCAGACATCGCAAGACAGCTCCCACCCAACGTGTCGTGGCTCCCCAGGGGCCCTACGGAGGAAGAGGAGGTAAACCACTTGACGCAAAGGCTGCTCTGAAAGCAACAGTTTCCAAACCTAGAAGATCATCATGGTTATTTTGGGGTTTTCTGAAACCTGGCCCGTGTTCGTTAGTTCTGAACTGATGAGCCTACCTCAGCAGCATCTGAGTCCAGTAGGAATCTAGAGCCCCAGGCGCGCTGCCCATGGAGAAAAGGCCGAGCAAAAACGGGCCCTCGACTGAACAGAACCGTCTCTCTCTTAGAGACGGACTCAAGGACAGGTTGGGAGCTTCATTCCAGATACTTAAACAGGACATAAACCTGAGACCACCTCTTGCTGCCGGAATCCAGCAGCACCGAGCTGACAAGGAGCTTCTTTAAAACGGAGAGTCTAAACACTGGAGCGCTGCCCACGACGGCGTCTCCATCACAGAACGCTGCGTGCGTTGACCCAGGCCAAGTCACTCCCCTGCCGCCATCTCCTCTATCCTCTACCAACCGCACGGGGGAACCCGGCAGAGGTTCCGAAATAACTTGAGTGGATCGTGACCAAGGTTTTTAAAAACCTTGAGATGGAATAAAAAACAGAGGAGCGTGTGTGGAGGTCGGGAGGGAAGGTTCCTGCCACCTCCACTGGTCAACACTGCCTCCTCTAGGAAATCAAAGCTCTTGCATGCTGAGCCAAGCCTACAGCCGTCATCAATCAGGGAGCCCACGCTGGAAAACATGGAAACAGAAACCATGATGTGAAATGCAACACACTTGGGAGCACAGGCGCCAAGGATCGCCCACATGTGCGCCAGTCCCTCTGAAAGGCAGGGCTCGCTTATGTGGCTCCTGTAGGGCAGAGATGGGGGGATGGGCATAAAGAAGGCCCTGGGACCCTGCTCCGGACGACCTGCTGCGCTCCCCTGTGGGTCTTCTCTGCCAGAGCTGTTTCGTCTCAACACAGCTGATGGCTTGGCTGCCGAAATTCAACTCGTCCTGCTTCACATCTGGCTGCCGCTGCACAGGCTCCTCGTAAGAACCAAACGCCTGGTCCATCCCACCTCACCAAGGAGGCACAGCCGTGGGGCACCAACTGAACTTCCGGCTCTAAAAGTTAAACTTTTAAAAGCTGCCCAGAACACAACCGTGTTGTTGGTTGAAAACTTCCCAGGATGTTCAATAAGCAGCACCTAGGGTCCCACATCGAGGTCTAGTCAGCACAGACCAGGTGGGCCCTCGTGTTCCAGAAGAACGCTCGGGGCTACGCAGGGAGCCTCACACTTACTGGCAGACTTGGCAGGTGACATCGGACTGCAGCCCGCCCGTGAAGATCTGGTCGATGATGCAGTTGCAGTGGTTGGGGTTGTTGGCCTTCTTCCCATTATCGTCACCTGGGGAGAGATTGTAGCTGTGACATGCACCTGTGCCCGAGTCTGCAGGCTTCCAAGCGCCATGGGCCCAAGGTGCAAGGCCATTCGCTGCAGAGGCTCACAAAGCCCAATATGATCACACGGGCGCAGAAGGACCCTTATGCAAACAGGGAGGCGTGGCGGGAAAGGAGGTAACAACCCAGCTAGCTTATTTTCAATGCTCTTTTTTCTCCACTCCCTACCATCCGCTGGGCTCCTATCTAGGTACCAAAATATAGCTAACGCCCAGTCACGGGGGGAGAGTTAAGGATTCCTGTCTGCCTGCATAGGACAACTGAGGAGCCCTGCCGTGGCGGGCACCCCACGCTGCCGTGCCTGCTCTCCCCCTGCATTGCACAGTCAGGCGCCCGACTTCAGAAAGCGTCTCTGCAGGACTCCCGCCGGGTTGTTTTCCCCATCAGCTCCAGGGCTCTGCAACCTCATGAACAGCTCCGCTTTCCAAGAAGCTGCCCCCAGAGAAGTACCACTCCCATCCTCTCTAGCTCAGTACGGGTTTTATTTATATCTTCGGGTGCAGATACAGGAACATAGCGCTTACATGTGGAACACGACACGTGTTCATTTGTACCATTAAGTACATACTATAGAACTTCCATTGAACCAGACAAAGGGGAGAGACTGGGTCTATCTGTATGTACGTTTCTTCTCAAAAAAGTGCAATTATTACCTAGGAATAAAGGATGCCCACTGGGTCTTTTGACAGCACACTGCCTAGAGAGATTAGGCAGAAAATCATATCCAGAAAGATTTCAAATTCATAGGAGAAAATGTCAGGACACAGGAAAATACATGTAGGAAGCCACAAAGGAAGAGAAGCCAAACGGTCCCCGATGCTTGTAGTCACACAGGAGCATGACCCAGCCAAGTCAGCCAGCAAGGCCGAAGGACTCAGAACACCCTACTCCAGCAGGAGAAGCCACGCACGTGAGACCTGTGGAACAGAGTACGTCAGACGAGTGGGTCCCAATCACTGTATCGTGTTTCTGTCCGATGAACGTTTGCACAGCAATGCATCGGAAGCAGCTGATTTTCAAGACAGACTCCTGCTGGTTACAGAAGTCTCGTGATTATCCTGAAGGGCTTGGAATGATAACTTAACAGTCTTACACAGCGGCTCTTTTCGGTCTGCCTGCTACACTTCCCACTAGAAAGCCAAACCTCACCTAAACTATTAAGCACTGTTCATTGGGTTCCTCGGGCGAGCACTGAAAGGTTGTGTTTTTCAGGAAAAGAGTACATAAAAAAGCCAGAACCCAAAGCCACACAGCTGATGAGAACAAGCCATCTTATTTGGAGTTTGGCTTGCTTCGAGGTTGTAATGTCACACTACATGGGCATTTGGGAGAGCAGCCCCACAACTGGACAGAGGCTGAGCAGGAGCAGGCGGTGGCCTGCAAAACAGAACTGTGGTCCAAAAGAATCACCAAAACCCGCTGTTCCAACCCAGGGGCCACAGGTAAGCAGGTGACTTGGTCACCCAGACACACGTCAGCTACACCTGAGTGTGCTCCGTGAACCGGACAACTGCTGACCCTCGCCACGCCCACTGAAAAGAAATAGCAGCATGCCCTCCAGGAGACTCCAAGCCACACTCAAGGTCAAGAATCTCCCTCACCTGATCCTGTGTCAGCACACTTGGGCACAGGGCCTCTAGACGGGGAGCCCCGCCACAGGGAGGGCAGGAGGAGGGACCCGGGGCCTTGTTATTCAGTCCTAACCTCCTGCCTCGAGCCCAAAGAGCTGCTGCCCGATGTCCCCTTCCCCAGCCTATCCAAACCTACCCACGTGTGAGATCCCTGGGGAGGCTGCCCTGCTCTGGGGGCCAAGCTGTGGGAAAGAAGTCAAGACCCAGTGAGATCCAGAGAGACTTTTAAAAAGCCCTTGGCTGGAACCCAAAATGAACAGGACTTGGGGTCACGGAAGCAGTGGCAAGCATGCAGGTCCCGTTTTGTATTCTCAGCTCATTCCGGCGACTGCAGCACCACGACCAGTCCTTCTGGAGACACCATGAAGGGAGGGAGCCAGTGCTGACAGTACAACTGCACTTGGAGCATATGTGAAAGTTTCTGGCCTGCCAGGGGCCACGATAACCTGGAGGAGCCGCACACCAGCCCCCTCACAATCAGGCCGAGAGGAAGCCGGCAGCAAAGGACTTGACGTACAGGGCCATCAAGGACGGAGAGCTCTGTTCATTGTTACGGGTTTTACAGGACTGACCACCATGCTCCTCTCCTCCCAGCAAGGTCGGAAGACAACACAAACTGTTCCCTCCCCTCTTAAGACAAATTATGAAGAACCTCTCTGGGGTATTAAAGGTGAAAAACAACACAGTTAGAACACAAGTCCCATATACAAGATTCCCTGCCCCTGCCATTGTGCGACAGCGCCCCCTACCTCTCCTGGGTGGGGGGAGGGTAGAAGTGGGGGGCACGGAGCCTCACCTTTGCAGTGTCGGTGCAGGACGTCCAGGGCGGCAATGAGGAACTCGTGCGCATCCTGCTGCTCGTACCCCGCCAGGTGCCGTGCGTGAGTCCACACCAGGTGCAGCAACTTGTAGGGGATGTGGGGGGAGCGGTGCCCGGAGTAGAACTGCTCCCAGAGACGGGAGGGGAAGGGGAACAACTGTCAGCAGGAAGTACCACACACGATAAAAAATCTGTTAACAACCACCTAGAATTTCTTGCAGCTACTCTGACAAAAAAGGATTCTGTTTAACTCCTTCCTTTTTTTTTTTTTTTTTAAACATCTTTATGTGGACTCACTGGACTTTTAAAATCATTTTGTCCTTTCCCACTGCTGGTTTTCTACGGATAAGCCAAAATGATGAACTGGGAGTGCCTGACGCAGACACAAGCCCGGGCAGGGCTGAGAGCAGCCTAGGATCCAAGCAGAACAGAACCTGCTGTTTGAGGCGGAGGACCACAAAGACAGAGGCGTTCTAGTGAAGCACACGGAGGCCTGGCGAAAGGGCCACTTTCTTTGAGAACAGAGGACAGCAGGCAATGAGGGGAGGGCGAAAAGACCCCAGTATTCACAGACAAATGTCTTCCACCGGCTGTCCCCTTCCAAAGGGCTCTTCTCATCCTCCAAGTCGGCACGCCGCCTCTAAGCGACACCAACGGTCCCTGACAATTCCCTTTGGGAAAAACGTCCCATAAGAAACACACGCATTATTCACTGTGTAAGGTTTCAGAAACCGGCCTTCCTTTCTTGTGTCAACGTGATTTTATTTAAAGGAAAAACACAACAAGCAGTTACAGAAATGGTAAGCCGCCCATGCCAACAGTGCTCACCTCTTGAAAAAGCGACGACATCTCGCAGACCAGACAGGAGCTGGGGCTCTGCATCTCACACCTGTGCCTATCGGAGAGGAAGAAGTCTCGCAGCAGTGGCGTGTGGGTGAGCGCCTGGACGATGCAGTTCATGAAGCAGGTGTTACCAAGGTTGATCAGCCCTCGCAGACCTGGGCAGGGTAAACGTTGAGTCCGCTTACAGGACAGACTGTCACGGCCCCGGGACAGGGACTGTTTCTGTCCATTACCACGAGGCCCCCTAAACCTAGCACACCTCCCCCGGGGGCTGCAGGTGCTCCAGAAGTAGTTGGGGGGGGGGGCAAACGATAAAGGCCTTATACAAGGGCTTAAAGAGAACCACACCAGGAAATCCTCCCATTTACATCTACTTTTAAACCCAGAGAAGCCAGCCTTGCTGGCAGTAGTCACAAAGCCCCGCTCCGAGCACTGTCTCCCACCTACCTATGGTGCAGTTGGAGGTGATCTTTCGCCTTTTCGGGTTGTGCTTCAGCAGTTCGAGCTCCCGTTTGGTAGGTTCCCAAGTTGAAAACTTCTCTCCAACGCCTAAGCAGATGGAAGACAGGTCCCGGTGCCATAAGCCCAGTTTTCATCAAGTGTGATTATACATAAAAGCGATGGTGACAGAACACTTAGATCGGCGTGTGTTTCGAAGCCACAACACGAGGTCCTTCCAGACCATGTTATATTGCAACGGGCTAGAAAGAACACTTAAAGGGAGTTTCTTTTGGAAAATGTGTGGTGAATAAGCAGTTTCCTGTGAGAAGGGCAACGCCTCCCATTAACACTACCATAGCGCTAATGCCAATATGGGGGTTTTCCGCCAAGCCTTTAACCCTTGAGCAGAGAGACTGCAGCAGCCCCGGCGAAAAGAGCTATACTTGGCACTGAGGTGAGGGGTCTCCGTGAAAAGACTGAAAGCGACAGGGAGAAAACGCACTTGCCGAAACACAGTTTGAAAACACCTCGTGTTAAACAGCTGTACCCATAAACGATCTGCACCACAGACAATGGTGCAGATGCTAATTGTCACAACTCATCCTAATACGTACAACCGTTCCATGTGACTTAACATTTCTGCAACATTCAATGAACTTGAAAAGACATTCTATCTCACTGACACATGAAGTTATAGAATGATTTTAGAAGAATTGTTTTATTCTGGATCACGCATTTCTGAGCTCCTGTAAGTGAAATGTTCTTCCCAGAGAAGTAATATATTCAGACTTAGTTGTGATGTTACTAAATTTTTGAGGGAGAAAAGAACAGGAGGTTGGTTAAAGAGACTGTTCTCCAGAAAAGATCTGTTACAATTGTGATCACGGAGAGCACCTGTTCCTATTGCTCCATTCTCAAAATATGGGGCTGCTTAAAAGCAGAGCAATTAAGGACAAAAACTGTGAAGCAGAGACCAGGTTTCTATGTTCTCTCTGTGAACAGTGGAAGCTGTATTCATGGAGAGATGCTCACTGGTCAAGTGGGGTCAACCGTACCTCCCACTGTTGGAACCCTCTTACTGTTCCAGCATCAGCTGAAAATGAAAACTAGAAAACCATCAAGGAAACAATAAGAAATGAACAATAGGGAAAACAGCCACATATTTCTGTGTGTCTCTCCGACTATGCATCCGATGAAGAAAGCATGTGACCACAAGGGAGGACAGGGAGGGGAAAGCACCGGAGAGCCCCACGCTGGTACCAGAGCTACCGCGAGAAAACATACTGGTCTCTACCCCTGGTTCCTGGCACAGAGCTCCTCAAACCCTTATGATTTCCTAAGTGATAAGAGCACTAGGAGCATCTTTATTCCAATGAGGTGACTCTTGGGGGGGCTCCTGGAGAGGGACCGGTTGCCAGAAAGACCACACCAAGAGAGGCTTAGCATTTCCAGCCTTGACCCCCCCATCCCCTGGCCCCTTCAGAGGGAGCCTGAGCTCCTGTCTGGTCAGTCAGTCACCTCATCTGCTTCTCCCGGATCCTCGGGTGGCGCCTACAAGAGGAAGCGAGCAGGTGTGGGGGGTTCTTCCCAGCAAAGCAAGTCCAAACTGCAAAACCCCCCCACAGCTGTCCTATCTCCCAACCCGGACCTTCTCCCTAGATGTTGACCTTTTCCCTAATAAGCTCTGCCCTTGACAGGCATCTAGGAGACAAAGCAGACACGTAAATCTAGGCACAACCAAACCTTGCAGTTTCCAAGCTCTGCGCTGCTCCTCTTTGGCGATGATTTCCATGTCCTTGTCATATATGTAGTCGTGGCAGAGAAAGCAGTAGATGCCGCCATACATGAGCTCTATGGCTGGAGAGAGAAGCGGGGGAGAGAGATCAGATTGAATTAAGAACTTAAAGGTAACGCTTAAGGTCACACATGAAACATCTGAGTGTTTTGGACATTTTACTGTTTCCACCACGTCCCCACTCTCTCATTTCAGACCTTTACCCTAAGCAGGCGAAGGATGTGTATTTTCCCTGGGAGCTCGGGACTTCCGAGGCTGAGGGGATCGGACTGCAAATGGGAGGCATCACACCCGTATTTTACAAAGGATCTCAAGTATCAGGACCCTCCGCCTAGTCTCTGAAAGTAAGGGAAGGGGCACCCGGGTGGCTTAGCCAGGTAAGCGCCTGCCTTAAGCTCAGCACCCCTCCCACACATCCCCCGCTTCTGCTCGTGCTGTAAAATGGAAAAAAAAAAAAAAAAATGGGAAACCTTTCACTGAGTATGATCAGCCCATAAGGATTCTAAGCCACCTGGACTGCTTTAACTATTTTACTACATCTACAACTCCCGATGTGATTACAAAAATGAATGAAACATCTACTTCCTACTCTTACTTTAAGGACGATGGTAAAATATCCTCTACCCAGATAATCTTCACTTCTTGACCCACACAGGTGACTCCTGCCCACCTCTGAGTAGATCTTATGCATTTTCTCAACTGCATCATCCATAAAAACTGGCTTCTAATTACTTCATTATAAAGTAAGATAAAGTCCTTTACTTTAAGCACCCGGAAGAAAGGTGTCTCAATTCAACAAATAAAAATAATATTTTCTGGCTTGGATTCACCACGCAGTGGAAGGTGTCTGAGGGGCAGTGGAGCGGATAGAGCACAGATTTAGAGTACCGGGATGGATCCTGCCTGTGACCAATCACTCTACTTCCCCAGGCCTCAGCTTCCCTCTGGTACGTGGTGATGGTTACAGCACGAATAGCTCAGAGGCTCGTGTGGCGCTTTTATAATGTTACAGCACGCCTAGCGCACTGTCTTCACGATTGCCGCCTGTATCGTACTCCGAGTCTTCAGCTGCCAGGACACAGATCAGTCGCTTTGTGACGGATCTGCAAAGTCCTCTAAAGCAGCCGTGTTAAAGCTCAAGGTTCCCACATCCACCCCTCATCTCTCACCCCCAAACTGACAAAATTCCTACAAATTCCTTCAAAGTCCCCATCAAAGCTGTCACAGGGAGCGCAGCTGCGCCTTGGCACTGTACGCCTTGCACGGGAGAGCTCCCAGCATGGGGGCAGCAGAGCCCGAGGCAGACTACAGTGAGGGCGCCAGGCATTTTCAGGAAAGCAGACGCATTCGCTGACACACACGAGAAGCGAGCAGCACGGCACAGCGGGCTCTGTACTCGGCGGGGAGTCTGCTCCAGATTCTCTCTCCTTCCCTCTCCACCTGCCCCTTCCCGCCTCTCAAATAAGTCAGTCAGTCTCAAAAAAAGAAAAAAAGAAAAAAAAAAAAGCAGGCATACGGCCATACAGCCAACAGCACAACTACCAGCCTGGGGAAGGCATGTAACTATTTAATGTGTGTTCAAGTCCACCTAAACAAGCTCCTCTTCCAGGCACCTTTACACACCCAATGCACCACTACTCACTGTGTGAGGCTAATGGAGCCAACCGGACGCCAAGACCACTCAGTGGGGGGAGACCAACCTCCTCCACCAACAGTGATGGGACGACCAGACACCCACCAACAGAAGCGGGAAGCTCAATCCTTACCCTCCTGTCATACAAGCACAGACTCAGAATGGGTTAGCAACTGCAATAAATCGCTACAAGTAAAAACTTTCAGAAGAAAACCCAATGGGGTCAAGTCTTCATGATCTCATTTGGCAATGGACTCAGATGTGACACCAAAAACATGAGCAACTAAAGAAAAAAAAAATGACAAATTGGGCTTCATCAAAAGTGGACTTTGTGCCTCAAAGGACATTATTAATAAAGTGAAAAAACACCCTACAGAATGGGAGGAAATATCTGCAAAGCATGTATCTGCTAAGAGTTCAGTATCCAGGAGAGAGAGAGATAGCTATCTCCAAGAGGTGTGTGTGAGGGTGTGTGAAGAGACAGATTTCCAAAATAAAAATATATATACATATATATTTACCTCAAAGTACAACATCAAAAGCCCAACCCAATTAAAAACATGACCAGATGACTTGAATAGATATTTCTCCAAAGAAGGTATGCAAAGGACCAAGAAGCACATGAAAAAAACATTTAACATCCCTGGTCATTGAGAAAATGCCTATCAGAGCTACAATAAGATACCACTTCACAACCATCATAATGGCCAGAGTTACTATAAAAAAAAGAAAGCAAGTGTTGGCCAGCATGTGGAGAAACTGGAACCTTCATACAAGGCTGGTGGGGAGAGAAAACCGTGCAGCCGCTGTGGGAAAGTCTGGCGGCCTCACAAACACTCAGCAGACTTACCACATGACCCTGCTGTTTCACTCCTAGGAACAGACCTAAAAGAAGTGAAAACGTCTGTCCACACAGAAACTTGTACGTGAGCGTTTGTGTGGCATTACTCGGAAGAGCCGAAAGGTGGGAACCACCTGATGAATGTCCATTAACGGTCAAAAAGATGAAGAGAACACGGAAGATCCCCGCGATGAGTGATTACTCAAGCACACACCAAGGAACGAGTTCCTGATGCCCACCGCAGCACAGACGCGCCCCGAAAACCTAAGGGAACGAAGTGAGACACAAAGGGTCATCTACTGCATCATTCCTTTTATAAAATATTCAGAATAGGCAAATCCAGAGAGACAAAAAGCAGACTGGCTATCTCTGGCGGCGGGGTGGGGGGAGAATTCATTCCTGGAGGCAGTTTGTTCTTCTGAGAAGATGGAAAGTGGAGAGACGGCAGCTGCACAAGGTGGTGGGTGAATGAAGGCCACCGAGCCTCACACTTTAAACAGCTGGACTGTACGTTGTGTGAATCCCACCTCAAAATAAAATGTAAAAGCAACACCTACGGGCAAGGTAGTTCCCTTGGAAAATTATTTTACCGTCAAGGTCGGGGTACACTGGCCTCCTTGGGAATGCCCGAAGCCACGGCCGACACAGGCATCACGCCTGCAGGCACCACGCGAGGGCCTTCTCCCTGCGTCACAGGGTGACTAGGGAATGGAGGGCGACACTACCCGGTGCTAAGTGGGCTGAAATCCCGCCGCCACCAGCACATGCTCTTACTACAGTAACTCTTCTAAGACACACGGAACGAGGCTAAAGGCATTACTTTTGTAGCTTTGTGGCTTATGGTGGCAAAATCTAAGCACCGCGTGACTTGCCATAAAAAGAAACTAGAGAAACTGAGAAACTAGAAGGTATGAAATCCAACAGCTCCGAGTCGGTCGCCCACACTCCCGCAGCAGGCCCCGCATTCCGCTGGAATTGCAGCAGCCGGCTGAGCACACGGACCAGTCCCGGTGGAAGGACACCAGCCTATCGGAGGGGCTATCCCGAATGAGCGGAAGCTCTCTTGCCTGAAGTGTGTATCTATTACGTTAAATTTAGGCAACTTTATAGGGTAGGATGGACAAAGAAGTAGAACCTTCCATCAGACTGCCGTCAGACCCTCCTTTCGTCCCACACCTTACTCGTCCGTCCCTCCGCAAGACCCGTGACAATGACCTTACTGCTACTAACACTGTTCTTAAGCGCATCACCCACAACATTCAGAGAAGACTCCGTTTAGGCCTCTTTCGCTACTCCAACTAAAAACCAGACGCCTGCTGAGAATTTTCCCAATAATCCATTTCCAGTCCCAACACTGTACTACTGAGTGTCCCCTGGGAGGGGAAGAACCTGACCACAAGGAAATCAAGGTTCCTCAGTCCTCACAGCACTGCTCCATTATCCTGCCCTTGGACATCCGACAAAATACTCTGTATAAAATGATGCCCAAAATGTCGACAGCCTAGAAGCTGCTCAGGAGATGACGGGCAGGAGAGGCAGTGAGATGCCCAGAATGGAGGGCGGGCAGGTGCTCCCACAAGTTGGAAAGACAGAGACCAGAGGACAAGGTGGGAGTCGGGCTGCCCCAGGTCACTTCCTCACTTCAGCTTCCCTCTCCTGTGCCCTCCTCTCTACCTGGACAGAAAACCAATTTCTACCTTGGTTAAACACACAGACACAGAATCTTCAATAAATTCATGGACTTAATACAGCAAAGAACTGGACCTTTCTCCCCTTTCAAGGTTTTGTTTCTGAAAGCAAACTTTCTAGAACTTATTCATCCTGGAAAAGTAGAGGCAGGGTTTATCAATCAGGACGACGAAATGAATAAATTTCTGAAGTGACTTTTAGAGATGACTTCGGGTAACAGTAAGATTCTTCAGATACCTTTTCTAAGTGCAAATGTATATGCAATCTTCCACAACCCTTTACCCACATGAAATCACATCCCAGGCATGACAGCAGCATGGCCCGAGCAGGTCTGGTGCGAGAATCAGACATGGCAGGAATATCCTTCATCTGTATTATAAAAGCACGTATGTACATTAAGTGAATACTAGACAACTTTAACACCTCCACACTGTCCCGAGGAGGGTCTTTTCCATCGGGTTAGCCAGTATAAGAGATCACCGGCGACCTCATTCCTCTGTGGGACATAATTCATGAGAGCACTACTGGCCCCATTAGCTCTCTTTCCAAAAAGGCCAATCAGCTCATCATAACTCGAGCCCCTCGTTCCTAGCAGCAAGCAGCCTTCTCACCAGTGCTTTCTGTGAGTTCTCGTGACAAGTGGGGCCATCCCGGAGGGAGGACTCCGTTAGTACATTCCATTTGTACTATTTTAAAAGACCGGAAAAGAGCTTTAACTGGAGTTGCTGAGCCCCCATGAAGTTTCTCTGGCCTGGACCTAAGCTCACCATCACTTAAAACATGATTCTGAAGCAGAGAAACATTTAAGGAGCACGGAAATAAAGCCAAGGACAAAATTTTGCTTTATGTAACTTCCAGAATGTGGGACAATTGGAACTTCTAAGTATAAAAAACATTAAGTTTATCTCGACACCACCCTACTGTTAGCCTTTCCATGGCTCTGGGTTATCAAGAACAGTGAGAATCCATCACAGAAAGCAGTAAAAGCCACTCGGCCGGGTCGTCGTCCATGCCGACATCAGTAACCCAACACTGCATCCAAGATCTTTCTTTGCAAATTTTCAGTTCATCAAGTACCTAACCATGCTTTTCAGAGGGAAAGATGGCTCTGAGGCTGCGTTAAAAAGAAAGATCCGGAACAGTGAGCCTTCGTAGTTTATCATTTCAAGTTACACAGAATATGAACTTCAACTCCGATGCCTGAAAGCAAGCTAGTAGGTCCATCGGCCCTGGGAGTCCCACGTGTTTCAGCGGCCCTGACTTTCAGCGGAACTTCACAGCAGCCCCTGGGAAGAGGGCTGCCGCAAGCCCCAGGGCAGGGATCAGAAGGGCCGGTGGGGGACGCTGCACCAGGGACATGCGTAGGGGGAGGGGGGCTCACCCAGGTTGTGCCGCTTGGACTTGGCGTGTTCATGGATGTGTTTCTTTGTGAAGCAGCCGAAGAAGACACAGTGCAGGCAGGAGTGAAGCCGGTTCAGGTGGACGCCACAGACGTGGCAGACGCACGACTTCGCCTGAAATTGAGAGCAGAGAGTTAGAAACCAGGTGCCCTCGGAGAGAGAGTGGCCAAGCAAAGTGATCGGTAACGGACATGGCGACGGGAGGAAGCAAAATCACGGTATCAGAAATCACGGTATCATGAGCCTCACTCAACAAGAGTTTCAACGGCTCCGAAGGGTACTCCAGCTCATTTAGCTCAAAACTATCAGCTCCACGTAAGAAAGCTCAGCCCACAGCCTCAACTACCAAACCCAGCAGGCTGCTCAGAGGTTTGCCACATGAAGCTTTAGGAGTCTCCGCCTGAGCCCTGACGGGGAGCCACCAACGCTCTCGGCTCCTGTCCCCGTTTCAGACCAGCAACTCGCAGCCTTGCCAACCCCTGCCAGGGACATCACTGTATGTTTGCTATTCCAGCTCCCACCACCAAAGCCAATTCAGCAGCCATCCATCAACCAGTAGAGAGGACATGAGTCAAAGTGATACAGAATAACAAGAAAAAGAAACTTTGTTGCCAAGAGTTAGACCGCAGAAACCTAAATTTGTAATCTCAGCCCATGTGAGCAGTGATAATTCTTACACACCCAAACCACCCCAAAACACCACTGTTTCCAGCACAATATGACCTCGACACTGTAGTAGTAACTCTAAACTCCCTACAGGCATCAAAGTGAATTTCCGGCCTCTGAGACGACGCCCTGGTGTCGGATTTTCCTCTGTGATAGGGGGGCATGGAGCTGGGCCAGGAGGAAATAAACTGGGTACCGGGAAGGGGAAGGTTAAGACAGAGCGCGCTGTCGACACACACACTCCACACTACCCGCTGAAGGCACCAGACACCGGGCCGTGGGCTGAAAGTGGCCACATCTGAAAGATGCCATACCCCAGTCAAGGCTCACCACCGCCCGCTGGGGATGGTTCTGGGCTCTTCTGGAAGTTACTAGTGTATATGTTTGACCACTAAGCCTGTGTGTGTGTGTGTGTGTGACACACACAGAATGTGGACAAGGACGTGCCTAACCCCAAGCGGCCCCTCAGCCTGGAGGCAGCCCCAAGTTTCCCACCGCACGCACAAGATCAAGTCAGGTGCCAAGCCATGTGGTGACAGGCTGTGCAATCACCTCGAATGGGTGGCACGGAGGGAGGAGAGGCTCTGGGGACGAGGCTCAAACCATATTTACCTAAAACATGAATCAATGTTTTCACCTAGCTGGTAACTGCCTGCAGGGAAGCCGCGAGCGTAAACTGGGGGAAGCAGAGCAAGTGCACATTACCTGGGCAGGGATGGCGCCTCAACCAGCACAGAGCCCTATGGCCAAAGCCCAAAGTCAGAAGACAAACTAGACGAGCTCCTCTCCCTGGCCTGTCCCCAACTTGTGCAGTCTCTCAAATAAATAAATCCTCAAGACAAAAACAAAAAAATAAATGAATAAAATGCCGTATTAGTAGAAATAGTAGTTATATCTATTGATTCTTCTAATGATAAATCAAAGAAATTAGGTAACCATAATTGTTTTTAGGAATATAGGGGACATTTTTAAATTACACATTTAGCTATAGTTGATGTAAGCAAGTGGTACTTCCAGGCATCATGGAAAAATTTCCCTTTAGCTATAAATACTGTAAGCGAGAGATTCCTGGAGATTTAGTTATAACCATGAGTGGGAATCCATTTACTATTCACTACAATTACAGACACAAAACACTGAATAAGAGGAAAGATTAAGAGGTGTCTTTTATTTTTATCACTCAGGATATTTTTTAAATTATTTTTAAAGATTTTATTTATTTATATTCCAGAGAGAAAGAGCATGCACAAGCAGGGGGAGCAGCAGGTGGAGGGAGAGGCAGGCTCCCTGCGGAGCAAACACCCCCCATGCGGACTCCGGTCCCAGGATGCTAGGATCATGATCCAAGCCAAAGGCAGACACTAACCAACTAAGCCACTTGGGCATCCCATCACTCAGGATATTTAAAAAAACTGATATTTAGAATTCCTCCATGGGACACCTGGGTGGCTCAGTGAGTTAAGTCTCTGCCTTGGGCTCAGGTCATGGTCTCAGGGTCCTGGGATCAAGCCCCACGACTGGCTCTCTGCTCAGCAAGAAGCCGGCTTCTCCCTCTCGCTGCCTGCCTCTCTGCCTACTTGTGATCTCTCTCTCTCTCTCTCTCTGTCAAATAAATAAATAAATAAATAAATAACCTTTAAAAAAAAATCTTCCATGTACTTAAAACAGTAAATCCAATTCTATTTATGTAACAAAAAAAATTCCAGAATACCATTACCTTGAAAATACAAGCTTACTGGATAATTACATAACTAACACAATCTTGCCTTAAAACACAAAAAAACTTAAAAAAAAAATTTATTGAGAGAGAGAGAGAGAGAGAGAGGTAGGGGCAGAGGGAGGGAGTCCTCAAGCAGACTCAAGCTCATGCTCCTGAGCACGGAGCCCGACTTGGTCCTCCATCCCACGACGAGAGCTGAAATCAAGATCTGGATGTTCAGCCAAGAGAGCCAGCCGGGTGCCTCAAAACCCAGGTCAAGTTTTTTATTTTATTTTTTTTTAAAGATTTTATTTAGTTATTAGACAGAGGTCACAAGTAGGCAGAGAGGCAGGCAGAGAGAGAGGAGGAAGCAGGCTCCCCGCTGAGCAGAGAGCCCGATGTGGGACTCAATCCCAGGACCCTGAGATCATGACCTGAGCCGAAGGCAGAGGCTTTAACCCACTGAGCCACCCAGGCGCCCCCGGATCAAGTTTTTTAAAAAGATAAAAGGTAAGCCCTGAACTTTCAATGTAAAAATATTTTGAATTTCATGGAAGAGAAACCTGTCTGAGGAAAAAGATCCTCCAGAAGTCAGCTGCACAAACACTACGGCAACTGTAAGGAAGCAGAGAGCTCCAACGGAAAACACGGAAACCGATCATGTCCCGAAGCCACCGGGTCAGGGGAAGAAAGCCTCAAATATAAATAAATGCACACACATACTCACACTTCAGCTAGGTATTTTTCATTTAAATAAAGCCCATGGTCGGGGCACCTGGGTGGCTCAGTCGGTTAAGCATCTGATTCTAGATTTCGAGTCAGGTCGTGATCTCTCGTGAGAGATCCCCGTCTTGGGCTCTGCACTGGGTGTGGAATCTGCCTGGGATTCTCTCTCTCCCTCTCCCCCTGCATGCGTGTACATGTGCACACACTCTCTGATCTCAAATAAATAAATAAATAAAATAATTTTTAAAATAAATAAATAAAGCCCATGCTCGATACTCATGTTAAGGCACACATTAGATTTTACTAACTGGAGCTCCCCTGGCATGTTCACCGTGGATATAGGTCATGAATCTATTATCCATAAACACCAATGACCTGCCACACCCCCTAGCCACGAACAGTTAATTCATTCATGCTTCCTATACAATAATGGACATCAACGGATACCTCTTATAAGCCACTGAGTCCAACACCAAGAGAGACACGTGAGGAACAATGGGAGCCCGCTTAAGGGATTCCCACTAGACAATTTTGGTACAATTTGAGCATAAAAATGAGTAACAACAAGAATAGATTATATACTAAATAAAAAAGAATTCTCAAGTCTATTCTGATACTAATACTACACAAACACACACACACAGTATCTTAATGGTCTTCTTCCCTAGAGAATTCCATCTAATCAATGTAGTAGGAAAGACAAAAATACACACGCAAAATCTTCATTTTCTAATCAACACCGTAATAATGGATTCAGGCAATGATCACCAGATGCTAAAACCACAGAGAGAAAAGTACTGAGTCATTCACAATAGCTAAAAGGGAGAAGAAAAACCCCAAATTTCCATCAATGAATGAACGAATATGCAAATATAGTATAGCCACACAACGGAGTATTACTCAGTCATAAAAAAGGAATGAAACTGCAACAACACAGATGAACGTTGAGAACATAAAGCTAGTGAAAGCAGCTGACACTGAAAGTCATGTAGTGTGATTCCATTCACATGAAATATGAAGAATATTAGTTCTTTGTAGAGACAGAACAGAAATCAGAGGCTGCCACCAAGGACTGAAGAGGGAATGGGGAGGATAAAAGTTACTTGGGGGCACCTGGCTGGCTCAGTAGGAGGACCATGCCACTCTTGATCTCAGGGTTGAATTCGAGCCCCATGCTGGGTGCAGAGATCAGTTAAAAATAAAATCTTAAAAAAAAAAAGTGATCTGAAACTTTGCAGATGTGGGGTGATGATCGTACAACATCATGAACACAGTGACTTGTTCGTTTTATTTATTTTTGAATTGCTCATTTCAAAGTTAATTTTTATGTGAATTTCACCTCAATAAAAAGATACATTAAATTTCCTTTTTTTTTTTTTAAGATTTTGTTTATTTATTTATTTGACAGAGATCACAAGTAGGCAGAGAGGCAGGCAGAGAGAGAGAGGAGGAAGCAGGCTCCCTGCTGAGCAGAGAGCCCGATATGGGGCTCGATCCCAGGACCCTGGGATCATGACCCGAGCCGAAGGCAGAGGCTTTAACCCACTGAGCCACCCAGGCGCCCCAGATACATTAAATTTCTTATATGCATGTGTACATGTGTGTACGTGTCTACATAGGTCTGGATGTCTGTACAATGGAGCAGAGGATATTTAGTTTCAAAGTATCACCCCAGAGACTACTTTTGTTGATTAAAAGAGAAAAGGTTACCTTTAGAACAAAGAACTCTGGCCAACAAGCACCACCTCATCCAAACCTTAACATCCCCCAAAGAAACCGACATACATGAGAGAAGTGTGTATACCGAGGACACCAGAAGACACACAAAGGAATATCATAACTGTAATACCCAAACCTGAAAATAAAAATATTTGGCAGAAGCAAAAAGAATAAACTGTGGTACAGTGAGGGGAATGACCAGAGCACTGAAGGAACTCACAGTAGGACAAATCCCAGAAGCAAACACAGAGGGAGCTGGCCACAGAGAAGCACGTACTGCAGGTTTCAGTCATATGAAGTATTG